ATATTATGATAATCTTGGATGATGATATATGACAATACCTTAATTTTAAACTATGTTAGTATATTTGTAACTAAAAGATTTATAGTATATAATGTTGAAAAATAATAAAAAAAAAATTAAATTGAGTATGATTGGATTAAATGCGTTGTCAAAATGGAAATAAGTATTATGGTAGGTTATAAAATGGAAGTCATTAAAATTTGGCAAAAAAAATTAAAATAAAAAAGGATAAAAAGGCGGGAAATTTTTTTATAACATCGTGACAAGTGTCACTTTAGGTTCGCTTTTAGTATAGGTTAATTGATTGTAACAAAATTATATTATGAAGGTAGACATTGTAACTAATTTTATGATATATTATATAATAACATTTATTAATTTTATGATAGCAAAAAAATTTAGTCAAATATGACACGTGAATAGTGCAAAAGTCAAATTAAATATAAACATGTATGTTTACGGCTTTAAGTTGATCATTTATACCTCATATTTGTCGGTTTTATTTTCTTAAAAAAAATAGATCAAATTCAAAAATGAAATAATACACATTAGCACACAACTAATAGCACCTTAAACAATGTTTTGAGATAAAAGAACGTATAACATCAATTTTTTTTTTCAACAATTACAAAAACATTAAACACAATTATATAAAAGTACATACTAATAGTTGAAGAAAATTTATATATATTTGAGGTCTAACATGGTAAGATATTCGGAGACTTATTCAAAAATCAATAAATAAAAAAAATACAAGATTTACCCAAACACAAACATACTTCGTAGTAAATTTATTTTTTCACAAATACTCTAAATTATGAAGTGAATAAGGCGATAAAAGAGTTTCAACATAACTCATAGTGTAAATGGCAGTATGTTTCGTTTTAACTTCTTGCATATTATCACTAGCAACCCGATTTGGATCAACAATTACACGCTTTTCTCCTCCAACAAATATTTTTCCATGATATGTAAATCCAATTACCCAAGGATATGGACGGGGTGTTTCTTCACCCAAAGAAATCATATACAACTTTTTCCATGAACTCGAATTCGTCCGTTCAATCAAGTTCCATATCTCCAAAACCCACTTATCCTTCCTACAATGTTGAAATACCCGACCGGAACACAAAATACTTTCTTGTGTGACACCAAGTGCAACATCAATGATACGATAAACCTTGTTGTTTTACGTGGCGTACACTTGATAATGTGTGATTGACCAAATCAAATTTAAATATCGTATAGAGACCAACAGCATAATGTAACACTCCGTCGTTAAGGACTAATCTAGTTCCAAGACTCCTACAAGGTATAGTCTCATATTCGATAATAAATCGATTAGAATACATTAATTCCCTCCATGAACTATCCTTCATCGAATACAAATAACTCCGTTTTCTCTTCAAGTGAAAGATAACAACATCGTCCAACAAATAGACAAAACCGAACCAATATCTTTTTTGACGACACGAAACTGGTGTGATAGGCGGATCATCTACGCGAGCAGGAGGCAGTGGAATAGGCCTGCATTCCCGCGTAATCGGGTTCCAAACAATGAGTTGTTCTAGCAAATTAGGTGTAGTAACATGGATACAAACAACCCAATTATAAGATCCAGCACAATAGTAGTAAACTCCTGTTTTTGAATCAGGAAATGGATGAGTTAAAAGAGTGGTGTTTATTTCTAATTTGTTTAAATCTTCGGATTTTAATGAAGAGATACAATTCTTGGATTGAAAGATTAGTGTTTGAGGGTTAACAAAGTTTGAGAATTGAATAAGAAAATTTGCAAATTTAGGGCAAGAGATTTGGAAATACCAGGTTTTGGAGAGTAGTTTCTTTTTTGCTAGTGATTTTAGAGGAAGTAAGAGTAAGATGTGTAAGGTTATATCATAGTAAAAACAGCAAATATCATCTGGAATTATGCGATGTTTCTCAGCAAATTCGAGTTTCTCCATCTTTGGTACGGTTGTTGGAGTAGAACTTTAGGGTTTTTTCAATACTAAAACTTTAGTTGAGGCTTACTAATTTATCATATTGATTTGAAAAGCATGCATATCTAGCAAAAAATTGAATTCTAATGAAAAAAAAGCCCAAAACATTTCTAGCCCATCTATTTGTAGATTTACAAATTCTATGGCTTGCCACGGTGTCGCCAACCATCATGAGGTTACTTCCTTAGTATAGTTATTCGTTCTGTATTATAGGGGTTACTTGATTAGTGTTATAGGGGTTATTTAGTCAATATTACAAGGATTACTCGGTCATGTTATAACAATTCTTTGTTTTTTTACAAGCGGCTATATGGTGTATCCAGTTACACACAAGACTACTGTTGTAGCTTTAAAGTATGAGACGTTGGATGGAGTTTCTAGGATTTATAGGTCCTTGGCATGGATTATATTGGTTGCTATTGATGATATGGTCAAAATAAAATTGGAGTCGTATTAGGTCGGAGTTAGAGGCTGGAAATTTTGGTCGCATCGCAGTTAAAGGCTGATTAAAAATCCAACATGTTGTAAGGCGGGAGTTGAATTTTGCATATATATACTTGTATATTTTAATTAAAACTGAAGAGTAAAAATGAATCATGATTTATTTAAGTTAATAAAAGTCAAATGCAACCAAAAGGAAAAAACAAAACTAATACGAAGTAGTAGTAGTGTTTTTAAAGGTCCAAACTTTGAAGGAAGTTTTAATCATGGAAAATAGCCAGCAATTAAGCAAATCAGAGATTGAAATCTCACGGTATTTTTTTCAATTTTCACTTTTAATTTTAGCATTTTATAATTTAATCTGATTAGCTAATTTGTTAAAGATTCGTCTGAATTTAATGAATTTTGATTTCAATTTCAAGCTCTATAATTCAATCTGATTAGCTTATTAAGGATTTACTTTTATAATAGGCTAAGCAATTAAGGATTTAATGCAAGAGTGATAACCAACCAGACAACAATGAAACTCCTCTGTTCTACCATGAGGTAAATAGGGTCCTAAACATGATTAGTTGATTGCCTATATTGAAATCAATGAAATGCACTTCTGATTAAGGATAATTATAGCATTAACAGTCAAATCTTCTACTGTAATATCATTCAAGAGTAAAGGCTAAATACTACTGCGTACTTTTGTAGCATGAACGAACCCAAGTGTTTCTAAAACAAACAACCAACCTAAATATTTTCAGTAATAAACTACGCAGTAGAAAAGAATGAAGATATCTAACAGTAAACTTCTTTGTACAACTTATAATGCAGGACTGCATCAACAATCATGAAACTTTCAAGGGGTGATTATATTCACTATTCGCGACAAGCAGTACTTCTTGCACTTTCAGGAGTCAGATGATCATTTTCACCAATATAAGCAGCCAAATTTAAATACTTCTCTTGATCCGCCCTATCTTTCCATCTTGATCTACAAATCACACAACTTACTGATCTTCTTCTCTGAGTCCTTTTCCATGTCATTAAGCACTCTTCATGCAAGAAGTTACGACAAGTTGCACAAGCCACCAACTTTTCCCCTGAGTTTCCCATCTCTTCAAGGCAGATAGGACACATAGCACCCTCTTCGACAACATTGTGTTGGGCTCGGGCAGCCCCACCACCATCCCTCTGGAGGAATGCTCGATGGAATCTCTCACGAAGGGTTGGGCCTGCAAGGGAATCACTTGAGGTTGGGTTAGCCAAGAGACGAGTCACCTGACTAGACCTTAGAGTCCGTCTCCTTAGAAAAGGATCATCTAAGGAGACTCCTAGGACCCTGATAAGCACAAATAAAATGTGTTTACAAGGGGTTGTACGATCAGGACACGTGCAAGCAAGAGTTGTTGATACGTTGACAATGTACACATTTCCGGTGGCACCAAGGATGTAGAAATTTGGGTCCGACCTATAAAGGAGGAGCAGGCGATGCCCTAGAGCCCTTAAGACTCTATCTGCAAAACCCTGTGAGGGATGGAATCGTGGGGTGGACCGCCTTTCTTGGTGATTGTCAGGTTGTCGTGGAGGCTGACTTGGCTCCATGGGTAGGGCAATTTCAAGAAGATTGCCTTACCTATAGAGATATGCAAATGAAGCAAAAGAATATAAAGGGGGTTTTTGAAGACTTATTATGTATTGTTGTGAAATAAAGAGATACTTTGGATAGTTTGGGAGAGCATGTGGTTGGAATTACTTAAGGGTAAGGTAATGGATAAAGTGCAAAATAGTAATACTATGAAGTATGAACAAGTAATAAGGTTGGGAAATTCTGAACTTTGTCTCGTGTGTTAATGAAGTTATTAACCTTACGGCACGTTTAACTTCCCTAAACCCCTTTGCATAAGAAGTTCATTCCCAATTAAATCTAGTAGTAGAGTTTTGAACAAGATTTTAAGGAAACTTCTATGATTCCATTTGTATTTGTTTAATATTTGAATTTAAACCAAGAAATGATCACATCAGAATATAGGTTTTTTTTTTAATATACGAACAAGTTTAATAAACCGAAAAATTAGCAACTTTTAATTAATTCAATTCAAGAGTTGTCAGTACTCAGTTGCAATATGAATATTTCCTTCATTCAATTCAATTTTCATTATGTCAAAAATCCATCATAAATTAAGAATATGACATGATTTCTCATTGATAACGTTGTCATATATGAGTAATTAATTATATTCATCTTGTTAAGTGATTAACTTCATTACTTGTATTTTTATTTTAGTTTTTAAATACCTCATCACTTATGCCATAACTTCTACGGAGTACCATCATCCTTACATGCATCCCAATACAATAATTTCCCGACCCTAAAAATACAATAAAGACTAATCATATAAAAATAAAAATAATAACAAAAATCGAAAATGTATATGATTATTAATCCTGTGATCTAGCACGAGTATGCTATATTTCAAATCAATTACAGATACTCTAAAAAAAATCGAAAATGTATATGATTATTAATCCCGTGATTTAGCACAAGTATGCTCTAGTTCAAATCAATTACAGATACTCTAAAAGTTGAATAGAGCCTCCAAAAGGCAATCCCGTTACATTTTATTCCCAAAAAAAATAAACAAAACAAAAATTCCGTTGCCGGGACTTGAACCCGGGTCTCTCGGGTGAGAGCCGAGTATCCTAACCAACTAGACTACAACGGATTCGTTGGCAGTATATTCTTAACTAATAAATATATATTTTTAAAAACAATGGCTCGCTAAATTTCAGTTTTTTATCACTTAATCTTCCTCACTCACACTCCGGAATTGAAACCTGCAAAACCAAATTGTGAATATGAACTTTTCAATTCCTCTTGGAAAAGTAAGAAATTCTCAATTTTTACCTTAATTATTTTATTCTATGATTAAAAATATTTTTACTAACAAATTGAGTAATTAATGGCAGCAGCAACCTGACAGAGAGGAGAAAGAAGGGGTAGGTGTGAGTTTCAGGCCAGAAAACTTCATCCCAGGTGTTGTTATTGGTTTCATTTTTGGGTTTCTTCTTGATTTAGCTAAACCCTCCAAAAACCCACCTAAATCTTTTCACCAAACCAAGAATTCCTTAACTTCTGCCAACCCAGATGAAGAATTTAAGATGGTACTTTCCAGAATACTTTAATTTCTTGTTAAAATGAAATTGTGAATTGTGATTGCTATGTTATATCCTAGTTTCAAGTTGTAGAGGTATTTCAGTATTCGGGTTAGGTTCGGGTTGGGTTATCGTGTCAGGTCGATTTTTGCCGGCTCTGATAATGTGATATGATGAAATGTTGGTTTGTGTTATCAATTTATCATATAGCATGCCTTTTTGGGTCCTTTATTTTTGTTTACTAATATTGAAGTTTTTCTATTTAGCCCTTTTAGTGGTTAAATTTGTGATTGAAGAGAATTTGGGCAAGTTTAGCAGAATGGATAATGCTTGATGTGTACAGTATACTTGAATAGGGGTTTAAAGGTTGTTAATTTTAACAAGAAATTAAAGTATTCTGGAAAGGAAATGAAAGTACATTAGAAAGTTAAACAACACAGTCTATCAAACTTTCCAGAATTTAAGATGGTACTTTCCAGAATACTTTAATTTCTTGTTAAAATGAAAGTACATTTTTTGATATGTGATCCTTCATGGTATTGTTATAGAAATATTTTCTGCTTCGGTTGATTTGATAAAGATTTCTTGTAGGAGGGTAATCTACTAATCACTAGGCTATACATTTTCCTTGATATCCTGGCATTTTACATTTAATATGTTTAAGAGGCCATGAAACAGCTAGTATGGGTGCTATATCATGTTCGTTTTGTAATATGTGTATGTTAATTTTATGTTGAGGATGTTGATTACAGGTTTTGGTGGTTAGACAAGATCTAAAAATGGGACATGGAAAGATTGCAGCTCAATGTGCTCGTAAGATTAAATCTTTTTAATTGTAACTGGAGATCAGCCTACTTTCTTCCTTTTTTGCCTTTGTCGTCTCCTGATAAGATTCTGTAATTTCAGATGCTGCCACAGGCATGTATGCTGATCTGATGCAAAGGTACTGTCCGCTATCTCAAATTCTCAGCTGACTAATATCCTTCTTCAGCAGAAAGTTTGATAGACTGTGTTGTTTAACTTTCTAATGTACTTTCATTTCCTTTTCGGCCTAATTCCCCTGTCCTGTTATCATCTCCTATATAAAATCAATTGCACGTGTTATCCGAATGTTACCTTTTCTTTTAAACCTAATTCACTGCAAACCGAAGAGAATTAAGTGTATCTTGAGCTGCAATAGTTTTTTCACATCTTATAAGAGTAACTTGACATATGTTATTTTCTATTAAATTTGTGAGCTGCATTTGTTTAGCCTCTCAGAGCAATATGTATGACTATTTACATAATATGAAATTGTGAATTTAATTTGGTGTACTTTGTACTTCGGACTGCTTGTTGCAAGACTATTGATCAGGAAGATGTAAGCAATGCTTTGATGCTATAGTGTGGTTCTTTAAGCTTTGATGCTATTATTCTCAAAAGTGGGCACTAACTATATATATTGTAGTCAGCGTTCCCTATTGAGGCAGTGGGAGCAATGTGGGCAGGCTAAAATAGTAGTGACATGCAAAAATCAAAAAGAAATGTAAGTATTTGCTGTTATTCTTTGTCAGGCTTTCATTGTCTCAGCAGCATTTACAAATTTTGTATCTTTATTTAGGAATAAGTTGCAGCAAGATGCTGAGAACATTGGCCTTCCAACTTTTGTTGTTGCAGATGCCGGGCGCACACAGGTATGCCTCTTCTGTAAACATTATAGGCTACTATGAATATTCTTAATGTTATAGTTCTTTCGTTAGTTATGTTTTTGTAATCCATTCAGTTATAATATTGCTTGAAGAAACAGTTCCCAGTATTTGGTCCTCCTTGTCCTCTTCTTATCACTTATTTCCTATTGTAATATTTATTGACGCGAGGAGCTTAGCTTGATTATATACTTCAACCTTTCTTACGACTTCCTCTTCGTTCCTTTTTTTTTTTTTTTTGCCAATCTATCCTTATGCCACTTTGTGGCTTCAGCTGTCAATTTTCTGGACTGATTTTCTGATGACTTACGATATTTAGTTATTTACGGTGAAGGCTTCTTTAGTAGTAGAAGCATGTAAGTAGTTGCATCACTAGAATTTACAGTAATTGCAGCATTCTGAGTTGAAAACAGGAAAGGCATTAATTTGATTAAGTTGCAGTGGCTTTTCACATGGATTTTAAGGAGAAAATTAGGTATTCATGAAGAGATAGAAATTAGGCAACAAGAATCCAATATAGAGGGTACTCATAAAGTTTATCACCATTTTAGTATTGCTGTAAACATAAAAAAAAAAAATTAATTTCTAAAGGGTTTGACTTTTAGCTTAAATGTAATGAAACTCAAATGGTGATGAACTTTTCGTATAGAGAGATGATTTTTAGGATTCCTCTCCCAAGCTCTTTCATTATTAATGGCCTTTCCAGTCTAAACCTTCATCTTTTTATAACCTTTTTCATTTCTGTTGCAATCCAAGGTAGATGCCCACTCTACAATTGATATATGTAGTCTAAGTTACTGAAATCCGAGGGACCATTATATAAGCCTATCTCCTCATTATCTTGGAACTGGATAAGTTGCCTGTCATGTTGCTCAGTTTGGCTGACAAATGTGACATTTCATACCTGAAGCTTGCTAAATTTGAGAAAGGTAGCACTCCTTTTTTCTTTTTTCTTTTTTTGTCCTTGTTAAAATTGAAGGCGTCATTAACAAAATCAGTCTTTTAGAATAGTAGTAGATGTACATCCAATTCATCGATTTTCCTGTTCATAGTAACCTATTCTTGATGCTTCCCTGGTTCTGAAGTTCTGAACTAATGTCACTAGTTCACTACATTAAAGAGGGTGGTGGGGGGGATCCATAGAGAAGATAAGAGAGAAGGGAAAGGTAATAGAGTGTAGTTTCCTGTGATAGATTACTCAGCACATATATTATGAAGGTATCTTCATTTTGTGAGGAATATCGGAGTCTCCTGTTCTTTTCATCTTCTCTGGATTTTTTCTTTGAGCAGATAATGTCATTTTGACTTCCTCTAAGACAATAGCTAAGAGTTAGAATGATAGATTCACGCGTCACTAAAATTTTGATTACTTTTTGCTGAAGGTTGCAGCTGGTTCAAAAACAGTACTTGCAATTGGACCTGGTATGTTTGATATGCTCTAATTTTGAGTTTTTGACTGCTTTTCTTGAAAGCTATTTCATTCGCACAATAAGTGTGGCTGCTATCTGTGCATATCTGCACTTCATTAATTAGCGAATAGAGAAATTCTTCATAAACTACTTTAACATTAAACCACGGTTTCTTGGCAATAGTACCTGAGTGCTTGATTTACATTAAACTCAAATTAAACACACAGAAGCTAGGCCAAATGTTCTGATGTTTATCTTTTCTAGTTTGCCCCTTTATTAAACATCCAAGAATACTATCTCTGTAAAATGCACTGCAGTTGGAATTGCAAAAATATTTCAGGATGGAAGGAGCTTTCAGTTGAAAATTTTGGACTTTAGACTTACAGGACCTTTATTTGTATCCATTTGCAGGACGAAAAGATTCCGTGGATTCTGTCACGGGGAAACAAAGACTTCTTTGACAGTTTAGCATGCCAAAAGCTCTACTGCTTAGGTTTCAATCAAGAGGCTGTTCCTTTCCTTCAGATAAACAAGGAATCTATCAGAGTTTTATCTCGAGTATGAGCTTTTCTCGGCAAAAGCTTCTGCATGTCACGATTCCGATAAGTTTGCTTCCATTAGTTTTAATTGTAGATTAGATAGAAGCCAATATTAAGCGTAGGAGGAGAGTTTTTCTTTTGGTGAATATTCTGTGGCAACTCAATTTTTTTCCTTCTCATTCTAATTGTAGTCGATTAAGGCGTTACAACCTTTTTAGTTTTTACAATGTAATTGATTTCATGCTTAAAACAATAATCAAAAGCAGTATTCAACTTGAATTGAACACTTTATTCTGTTGATTTGGAAGTGCAGAATATTTCATTTTACTTGATCTTTATGTTCAGTTCTACAAAACATGATGCAATAACAAACAAAGTATGATATCCATTGCACAAAAAAAATCCAAGTTTATGTCAAGGGGTAAAATTGGTATATCCATTTTATCCCTTGGGATGAACTAGCAATTTTACCCATTTTGCCCAAAAATAGGAAATTTGATCCTACCGGCCCTAATTATAGACATTCTTCTTTAAATGGTCTCAATTACTGATTAACTCATGTCAATCTTAATTCTAGGGGAATCCCCACCTCATTGATTATTTAGAGGTCCGTTTTACTACATCTAACGAAAACTTGACACGTGGCACTATCAACCAGTCAGATCGGTTAACGTAAAAGACCCCTTAAAGTTATGAGTTTAGGACCGCATTGAGTTAATCGATACCAATTTTCAAAACAAGAGATACTCCACACTTGTATAGAATTTCCATAAGCAGTCAAACACACTATCAGCTTTCCAACAATGGCGGATCAAACAACAATCCTCCTCTCTCTCCTCTTCCTCCTCCCATTCTCTCTCCTCCTCATCCTCTACCTCATCGTCCGCCCTCGCTCAATCACAATCCCAATCAAAAACCGCCACGTCTTCATCACCGGCGGATCAAGCGGCATCGGCTTATCCCTAGCTCACCACTTCGCATCCGACGGCGCACGCGTCTCCATCTTAGCGCGCGACCACCGTAAGCTCGAAGCTGCGAAGGAGGCGATCCAGCGCTCCACCGGCGTTGACGTCACCATCTTCAGTGCTGACGTCAGGGATTTCGATGCCGTCAAGAAGGCGGTTGAAGATGCTGGGCCCATTGATGTTTTGGTTTGTAATCAAGGGGTTTTTTATCCTCAGGAGTTGGAATTTCAGAGTTTGGATGAAATTAAGTTTATGTTTGATGTTAATGTAATTGGGACTTTTCATTTGATTAAAGCTGCTTTGCCATTGATGAAGAAAGATCGTAAGTCTCGTGGTCCGGCTTCGATTGCTATCATATCGTCCCAAGCTGGTCAGGTTAGATTATCTTTTCGGGTCGACTTTATATAGGCATTAAATATATTTTCTAAAATGGTACGAGTTCCAATTAGTATATGTTTCGACTTTAGGAGTTTATGAGAAAAGCATGTGTCGATTGGTGATATGTTTCTTTTATTTGATGTTGTTTGTTGGGTGTAATTGCAAGATAATTGAAGTTGATAGACTGATAGTGAGAGTGACTGATACCTCAAGTGGTTAGAGTTTCCCTCCGGTTTCAGGAAATCCTGGGATCGATTCTCACCCCCGCCCTTTAGCTCTCTAAACACCAAAAAAAAATAGTGTGGTGTAGTGTAGTTCAGCTTTGGTAAAATGTGGGTTTGATACTTGCCCCTAGATTTTCAATGAAAAATCAGTTTGGAAAAGGGTAATGATGTAGATGGAATTTGATACTTGCCCCTAGACTTAACTGACTAAGCTAGATGGTATCATGTAATCACTGCATACAAAATGATGTATATAAGTACATAAGAAATTAACAATTGACATTGATTGTTAATTTTCATGGTTATACTCGCACATTATTGATTTTATTTACTTATACTGAATTTCGTTGAACCTTATTGTTGGTCAAGTCTTTGGGATTTGAAGCTCTGCAAAGCAATCTATTAGTGGTGCTGTTAATGTTGAACTTTGTCCAGGTGCATAGTGTAATCATTTAACCAGCTGTTTAAGACTTTGAAGTAATTTTGTAAGCCTTATCTGTATGTAACACCAGTAATTGACTAATGAAGTTGTTTTTTTTTTTAGATAAGTGGAAAAAAGCTAGTATATAGATTTAGAAAACTATGTTAGATTGTTAGGGTAGAACGGGATGTATTAGCTACAACATGAACCTTCCTAACTTCAGCTCTATCCACTTTTAGCACATCATACCATGGGAAGGTCTTGCCAATGTGTTTGACCTCCTCCACTGGTGCAAGCAGACATCTTTGTTCGCATTCCCCTGAAACATCATTCCTAACCTGCTTACAATTTTAAACCTAGGCATAGCTTCAGCAGGATGAGCAGATTGAGCAAGGCAATATTTGACCCCTTTCTTGTTTTGACTCTCATCTGATTGACAGACCCAACTAATTCCTTCTGAATACATTAGACAATGTTAGCTTGGCACAATCCATCTTCTTTTTTTTTTTGAAAATAGTATTATCATGGAAGTGGAACATTGACTAATATTAGCTTTAAAGAAACTAGGTAGCTGGGTAAGATTATCTTCCAGCGGATGCAAGAAAATTAGGTTCTGACTTCTGAGTAGTAGCAGCATGAACACTCTGGTGTAAGAGCATAGCCTTTGATAGTTATACTTCATTTTTAAGGCTTGATAACATACTCATGTTGCTTTTGCTTTGTTTCTAGGTCAATTATATTCTTGCATTTTGGTTGTGACATATCAGAGTTCATCATAATGGCTCATGCTTTGTTTGATAATTTGTTATTATTTTTTCATCTAGGTGGGTATTTATGGTTACACGGCTTACTCTGCTAGTAAATTTGCACTCCGGGGTCTGGCAGAAGCACTGCAGCATGAAGTGATTGCAGATGATATACATGTGTCACTGATATTTCCTCCAGACACTGACACTCCTGGTTTGGAAGAAGGTATGATTAGATAGAGTTTTATTTTCTGCTTTAATTTTTCAGATATTTTGCTGAAATTGATTTAGGTGCAGTTCTTCTCTTGTCTTAGAAATTAAGGTTTACAGAAGTTTGTTATTAATAACTAAAACAGTCTATCCAATAATCCTCTTGTAATTTTGTTATCTTGAGAATATCTTGTTGTCATGATTCATTATCACCATGTTTCTTTGCATCACGGACTCACATCAAGTAGTGTTGTATATTCTTTGTTATTTTATTTTCGTAAAACGGTAGCCACATCTGACTTTGTTGTCACGTGTGTGTGAGCGCATCTCTACCTCTAAAGATTAATTTTCAATTTATATTTTAATGTACAGTTTCTTTCCATCTTGTTATCTGTTTCATTTCCAATCCTTCCAAATTATGGTGCAGTGCTTGCAAAATAGTTAGATTATGCTTCTTCATCCTTGGACCTAGTTTCTTGCATATATGCATTTTGGTCAGCCTCACTTTAAATGCTTCTCTTTCCAAGATAATAATGTGCAATTTGGTGACCTTTCTTTTTCCTTTAACATAAGTAATGCCTGGACATGATGTTAAAAGATATTTCTTCTGTGTCCAACTCCAAGATGGCATCATATCTTGGGCATTTCTTCTATAGTTTTATACTTTTAGCTATTCACTAAGGCCAGTAAGTGTTTTGACTTTTGTTGAAAATTTTGGTTTCCTGTAAACTTTGGATCCCTAGCATCCCTAGAAACTACTTTGGAGTTGGGTTTCATATGCTGTGCAATCACTTGGTGGTGATTTTTCATTAGGCTTGTAAAATCCAAAGTATAAGACTGTGTCATGTGCTTATATAATCCCACATTCTTTAATTGCCAAAAAAAAAAAAAAAAAAAAAAACATTCAAGAATTGATTTGGTAATAAGGCCTTTCATGTCTAAAACATACTATGGTTCCATTATTGGACAAATTGACAACTGTATGTCTAACAACTCACCTTCCTTGCACCTCAAATTCTGTTGCAGAAAACAGAAGGAAGCCTGAGCTGACAAGCATAATAGCAGGTTCTTCAGGAATGATGAAAGCTGATGAAGTTGCAAAGAAAACTATAGATGGCATTAAAAAAGGCAGTTTCATTATCCCTTGCAACATTGAGGGTGAATTATTGTCTATAGCTACTGCTGGTCTGTCTCCACAGAGATCATATTTGATGGCATTTCTAGAAGTTATTGCTGCTAGTCCTGTACGCCTTATTGGTCTGTTTTTTCAATGGAATTGGTATGGAAGCATAGAAAAATGGAACTCCAAAAAAATTAGTAAGTATGCTGTGTTTTATCTTATTCTTAACATATGCCCTTGAATTGGTAGAGTACAAATCATTAAAAAAAAATATGAAATTATATAGTAACCAACATTTATATATATTTTCTGATTCACCTAAATTTTTGGTACTTGAATACTATATCATATCTACGTAGTATTTGATTAGTATGCTTGTGTGTCAAGTTCCACTCTCACAACTTTAGTCCAAATCCAATTTTCTGCTATGGAGCCTTGAGATTTTTATATAGCTATATCATATGGCTCTGAAGAAAACATGTGTTTTCTGGAGTCTATATCTTGTAAGGTCCAACCTTTGCCATACCAAAGGCTTGGCTTAGTTCTGGTCAAAATCAAGGTACCTAGTTTTGGGTATACTGTGAGACTAGGAATAGGAATATGACTAGGACTAGGTCTAGGTCAAGTTCTTTTGGGTTGGGGACTCCTAGCGGCACACTTTGGAAGTATAATTTTGGTACCAAAATACCAAGAAAATCACATTTGTACCAAAAAATTTTGGTACCAATATATGTGGTTTTGTACCAATTTTTTTTGGTGTCAAAATCACATATTTTGTTACCTGTATGAGATTTAACAAATACCACAGTGTGAGGCGCTGTGACTTGCTCCTTTTGGGTCAGCTCAATTTTGCCAAAATAGCTGGACTAGGGGCCCTCCGTGCCTACCAATCAGAACAGGAGGGTAGTAGGTTTAGGTTCTTTTGCGTTTGTCTACTGCAGTTTTATGTATGATGTGTTCTTAGGGGGAATTCTTAATCTTTGCAATTGTATGAAACTGAAAAGTTGGGTAGAATGGAGAACACACGGGCAGAAGTGTGTTGTCACATTGTTCTGCTCACTCATACTCATCATCCTATATAATGCACTGCTTTTGCTACTAATTGTAAACTTGTTTTTTAATCCTATGTTCTCTTGCTTCAGGGACATGAAGTTAGAGATTGATCCATTAGAGCGGATGGAGTCAAGCTCAAGACAAAAAGTTCAAAGCTGAAGTAAATTAATATATTATTCCTTGATGAAGAATTGGTAATGTATTAGAGTTTTGCCATTACCCAAACATCTTGGCATTGTCAGGCTGTACAAATTGTTGCGACTACTTTTCTGGTGTTTTGATTACGCAAGTACTCGAGTAATAGATCCAGTGATTAGCTCCTGGGCATTCATGCTTTAAAAAAATTTAGAGTATGTGAGCTCTGTCCAGAGAGCGTCAGAATATTCATGTTAGGCCAGACTTGTGTGTATGAATTGTATTCTTGTTTCAGGTTTACAGTTCTCTCTCAAAGAATTCAAGCTTGTAGTTGATGTAGCTTATAATGTAGTTTTGTAACGAAAACTTTATCCAGACATGAAGATTAATCGATGATGTTATGGCCTACAACTGCAATTGAAAAGCATGTACTTTGCCAGCATCTCTTTTATTTATCTTTGAATGAAAGTTCAAGCCCATTTTTTCTGACAAATGGTTTCAGTCCTCTGCTTTCCATTGTTCGAGTAAAGCATGTAATAGGCAATTTTTTTTGGTTGTCACTAACTCACTACCTTATATCCGTTCTACATGCTCATAACATCAGAAATGGACCTGACTTCGAAAATCAAGAATGTGTATCTGAATGAACTATATTATGAAGAAATGTGAAACAGACAGTACTCAAAGACTACAATCTCATCTCAGAAAAGTTTTTACAGTCAAAAGTCAAAACATAAACCAGTGTCTAAAATGTCTCACTGAAATTCCTTTGCGAGATCTAAATTAAGGAATTTCATTCCTCTAGGTAAATATTATCTTTGCAAAATTATTTCATAATTTAAGGTAACTCAAATCCAGTGGCAGTTTAATCATCCGAACAAGTCATAAAAAATAATTCCAGCCTAAACTGCATGCTTCAATTCCAACCAACAAAAAGCTCTCATAACTCTCATTGGAGAAAGCAGAAGACTGACACCAATCTTGCCCTGCTATTAACCTCCTGGATGCGAGCTAAATATAGCTGAGAAGCTTGAAACCTATCACAACAGCCAAGATTGTCAATCAAGAACACCACTCCCTGGCATTTTGGAACAAACGCAGCCACGGGCTCGGCCCTTTCTCATTGACATCCCAATGCTTTGGGTACCAAGAATATTGCCACATTAAGAAGCAACGCTCGGGATGAGGCATCATAGCAAGATGCCTTCCATCAGGGGAGCAAATAGCCGCAATCCCAAGAGGTGAACCGTTGAGGTTAAATGGGTAGGTTTCTGTTGGGTTCCCGCTGTCATCACAATACCTTAAGGGGGCTAAATCAGAATCTAGAACACTGTTGAGAACATCAGCATTTGGGAAATAAGCCCTTCCCTCACCATGAGCTGCCCATACACCCAGAGTACTACCTGTCATCCCTTTGAACATTATAGCAGGAGAGTTTCCAATGGTCACACTTGTGAAACGACATTCAAATCGTCCTGATTCATTGTGAATGAACCTAGGTTGTGCAGTGTCACCGCCATTCCCGAGCACACCACCAACTTTGGGGCCTGGGATCCATCCCAGTAAAGCCATGAGCTGGCACCCATTACAAACCCCAAGACTGAAAGTGTCAGACCGATGGTAGAATTCTTGAAATTGATCTAGAAGAGGTTGGTTAAATCTTATTGAAGCTGACCAACCCTTGGCTGAATCAAGAACATCAGCATAACTAAAGCCTCCAACAAATGCAATCCCACGGAAGTCTTTCAAAGATATGGCTCCACTGAGGAGGTCTGACATTGCAACATCCCATGGTTCAAAACCAGCAGCATAGAATGCTGCAGACATTTCTCTATCACCATTGCTACCTTCCTCCCGGAGGATGGCCACCTTTGGTTTCGAGGTTGCTAGCATGTATTTATCATCTGTACAAGCAGGAGTAAAGGACAATGACCAAGAAGGTTCTTGTCGGTGCCTTAAACCTTCTTTCTCCAAATCTACACAGGAGGCCAACCTCTGGAATTTCTCTAGGTTAAAACTGGTTTCCTCCCATATGTCCCTCAGGTAAGCCATATCTTCATTCAAATGATTGACCCCATCAACCTTCAAATCAATAGTTTTCCCCTCGGTGACTTGTCCAATGATCTCCGAAGAGATGCCCGCACTCTTCAGTTTGCCCATTACCGATTTCAATTTATTCTTGTCAACTTCAAGAACCAAACCTAGCTCCTCAGCGAAAAGAGTCTCAAATAGGCTATGGCCTTCAGATTTTAGTTCTAAGGAAAGCCCACAGTTGCCTGCAAATGCCATCTCCAAGATGCTGACAAGTATCCCACCATCACTAATATCATGACCAGCAGAAATGAGATCATCTGCAATAAGCTCTTGAACTGCATTAAATGCTCGCTTGAAGTAGGAGACATCATCAAGATCAGGAGATGCACTACCAATTTGATCAAACGCCTATAAGTAAACAGAGACCAAAACAGGAGATTCAGGAATATAAACAAATGGATCAATTTTTCGTGGCCATATCTAGAGATGCAATCAATTATTCAAAAGATGTGAGACACAAATCACCCAACCATGTTATCAGAACAAAAGAATATGCAAAAACAAAGTGACACAATCCAACTAATTCATTGCATAATACATAGCATCTCTCAAGCATCATGATAACAAATCCAAGTTAATAATAAAAAGGAAAACAAGGGGTCCTCCACACAAAACCAATAAATGGTTCTAATCATATTTTTCCCAATAAAGTTCACCCCCAAGTCAGCAAAAAAAATTATCTTACATTTCTTTGCATCATAAAAATAAACAATAACAAAAAATCAGTTCATATATCATTTTAAAAGGTAAAGTAGAGAGAACAGTGATAGGAGTTCATAGCACATAATAATTTTACATAAATGCTATCCTTTCATAGGTAGCTGTAAATGCACATTACAGCAAATGAGTTATCTTTTCTTTTTTTCTTCCCCTAAAGAAGCAGCAATAGACTACTATCTCTTGTACTCCCTCCGTAACTTTTTACTCGCAACAATTACTATTTTTAGCCGTAACACATTACTTGCAACAAAGAAAATTATTTCCTTTTATGGTATGTTTTTAATGGTGAAATGACTATTTTACCCTTAGTTATTTCTGATTTTTTTTTTTTTAATCCCTAAACACTACTTATCTAACTTATAATCAAATACACTTAACCTAATCTAATCTAACCATTCCCACCAAAAATTACCCACCCCTTTCTGATTTCATTAGAAATCATTCAACTCCCCAACTACCAGAATTGAATGAAGATCAATCAATTCTCCTCGTTGTTGGTGCCCAGACTCTCCTTATTCTGGAGAATTCTCCAGATGAACATTATAAACCCTAGATCTACTCTATTTCCCTCCTTTCTCTCTCATCTTCGTCCTCTGTTCTCTCTCTTCACTATCTTGAATGAAACCCTAGCTCTCTCTCTGTTGTCTCTATTTAATTTTATGTGAAAATGAGTTCCAAAAAAGCAAAGAAAGAGTCCCAAATTCGTCCAAAAAAGGGTGAGGAATCCACTATGTACATCGCTCGCAGGGGATCTAGTGATGAAACCAGTTCGTCGTTGTTCTTCTTCGTTTTCTCGGTACTCTCGAGGCAAAATTGGGGCAAAATTGTATTTTTCCAGCGACGAGGAGGAAGTTCTGGAAGTAGATCCGGTGCAGACTGTCCCTGTTCCAGCGGAGGTGGTTGCTGAACTACCTCCTCCTGCCGTTGAAGTTGTCGGTGCTGAGAAAACCTCGAAGGAAAGCCCAAAAAATGTTGCTCCGGAAACCGTGGAGACGCCTGGTTTCAGGCGATGGCGCGTCTCCACGGGGACAGAAGAGGCCTAGATCTGTCTGGAAGGACGACTACAGTGACTGGGATCCCTGCTACATGGCGTATTTGAGGGACAAGTACCCTCATGACTTCCCCCCAGATCTTTGAGCATGCAGCGTAAATATTACTAAACCCTGATTTTATGAATTTTGCCTAAATATGAGTCCCTTTGACTGAATTTTGGTTGTGAATTTCATTCCGTGTTTGATATCGTTGGATAAAACTGTTGATTTTTGGTTTTTTGTGTAAAAAATAAACAATTGTGGTTGTTTTGTCCTGTAATTATGTTGGGTATGGTTGTTGGTTGTACTTCTGATCTTGACTTGAATTTGTTGATTTCGTATTGCCATTGTTGGTGATTGTGGTTATAAATTGGGGGTGTTGCCTCCTGTGCTTTTACTGGTTGAAATTGTTGGTTTGGGTAAGGGAAATTTGTTGTTGTTGTTTTATAAGTGGGCACTTGACTTGAATTCATTGCCTGCCTGTTGTTTGGTTATATTGTGAGCATGAATTTTGGTTGTGATTCTAAGTTGGGATTGCTTCGATTATTTGTTACTGCCTCTGAGTTGCTTGGCTTGTGTGGTTTTATTTACAACATGGTATATGAATGGGCTGTTGTGGGTTGGTTATTGTTGATATGAGTCTATAGTGATGCAACTTGGAGATGTTTTGATGTATGGTTGATGACCATAACAGTGGTGATTTAGCCTTTGGAATACTCTGGTTTGATGTGTGTTGATGTTGTTGCCTATGAGTCCCCACTGTTTCAGTGAGTCCCTTTCATTGGTCATTTCTGATGATGCATTGAGTCCCTCTACCCACATTGCATCATAGTTGTAGGGTTTTCCAAATGATGAAGGGACTCTTATGACTTGAGCCCATTATTTAAGGGAGCTCCAACATCTTCTAACAGAGGATGTTGTTGCGGTGCCTGTTAATGGTGGCTAATATGGTTAAACCAATCCTATCTGATGGAAAAAAGAGACAATAACCATGCCATACTTTAAACACAGTGTCTACTTGTTAATGCTATAATTTCATTTGCCTAAAAAATGGTAGATTGTACGTAATTCCATTTCAATAATAACTACCTACTAAGACTGCCTACCCACTCTATTTAACAAAATACACCTAACCATTACAAAACAAACAAAAACTTAGTTTTCATGTTAATGGTTATGTGTGGCAGTCTTTGGTCTTCTTACTTGATTGATGTTGAGTTCTTCATTTACAAAAAATTACTTGTTGTCTTGTTCATTTACAAAAAGTTGCATGTTCTTACTTGCTTATGTGAACCTCAATCTGCATCTACTTCCATTTCTTCACTTTCTGGTTGAGGTCCTGTGGTTGGAACAAAAAGGGTGTTGAGATACTGCTACAATTAGTGTCCTGTCTACCTTCAAAATGTCCTCCAAAGTCCCTTGCCTGTCTTGCCTTGCTTTTCCCATGTGTGGTGGATTGAAGTTGTTCCCACCTTGTTTTTCCAACACCTTAATCATGCAAGCCTGTAGTGTGATCCAAGTGTACCTGTTTAGTGTTTGATCAAACAACTCAAATGCCTTCGCCACTTTCTCAATTAGCTCATCAATATTTGTTGGGAATGACTGGTATT